GTTAGTGGGAGGTAAGGGCACAAATGTAAAGGTGTTGGACTGGTTAGGTAGGTTGGGCATAGGTGGTGGAGGACCCAGGCAATGACACAGGCAAAAAAGATGGCAAAAACCTTAGCAATTGATAAGTGGGGGAATGAAGTGTCAAAAATGATTCTGATGCTGACTGCCATCAAGACATATTCATACAAGTTCAGTATCTGGAAGGAAATGTTAAGTAAAAAATAATAACATGGCTCTGACCAGTGTGGCTCAGTTAGCTGAACACCATCCTGCAAAGCAAAAGGTCGCTGGTTTGATTCCCAGTCAGGGTTTGGTCCAGGTCCCCCACTGGGGCACATGCAAGAAGCAACCGGTCAATGTTTCTTTCACACATCAATGTTTCTCTTCTTCTCTTTTCTCCCTCCCTTTCCCTCTCTCTAAAAACAAATAAATAAAATCTTTAAAAATATAATGTGAAAAACTTCTGGTTTAAAATAGTCACTGGCCAGCAGTCCTTGCCTCAGCTTTTCCCGATTTTCCACTAAACATATATATGACTACACATTTTTTAAAAAATGAAACTCAAAAATAGCACAAAAATGAGAACTGAATTGCCAAAATATGGAAAGAATGGAAGGCGATTCAGGGAAAGAGTGAGTGGCCAGGCTGTTGTTGCTGTCCTGAAGCACAGAAGCCCACACAGGACAAAGGAAAGTAGGTGGCTCCTGGTCCTTCTCCACTGTCTGCCCTGTCTCAAAGGCCCAGGCAATGCTAAACGAAAAAGTGGATAACTGTCCTCCTATTTACGAGTGTCTCTAAGGCAACAGAATAAAATGACAATCATCTGTTGTCCCTCTTCTCCTCTCCCACTCTTCCCATTCTGTCCACATTCTCTATCACATCTCTGGACTGAAAACAATGAGCATCCTTGGGGGTGTCGCAGCCCTGACACTGAACTATCTCGGCAAGGAAAAAAAAAAAAAGACTAGGAAATCTAACAGCTGTGCATGCTGGAGTTGTAAATTTTTGTGAAATCCCTGTTTCAAAGTGTCAAGGAATCAAGCGGTGGTGTGAGAAGATGTCAGTTCTGTACAACAGAGTCACAAAATCTGCCTCCTGGCAAACCTTGAATCCAGAGGGAACCTGCCTAATCTAAGGATTAGTAAACAATAAACTAATACAAGCCCCGTGAAAAAGTGCCAAGCTCAAAAGAAAGGAAGCAATATCCTAAAGATCGAGAAGATGAACACACCTTTGAAAATGATTTACTATTGAAAATAAGAGAAAATATCATGAAATATTTTGGTATCTTCAATAAGATCTAAGAATACATAGCCTCTCTGAAACAGGAGCAAAAAGCCAAAAAGCTGAACTGAAAGAACGTGATGAAATGAAAAGATAACATGATGAATTCAAAGATGGTAAGGAGGCTGAAATTACAATCTGAGAAATAAAGTCATCATTGAAGACAGTAACATAGATGATGGGAAATCAAATTAGTGACCAGTTGAGCAAACTTGAAAAGCTCTCCCAGAATACAGGGGAAGAAAAAGGTGCAAGAAAATGTGTTTTTTTAATTTAAATAAAGTTTTTTAAGACAAAAATAATAGATGGTCTGTGTAGAAGACAAAGAAAGGAAATTCAATCTACAAATCATAGGTGTGACCAAGACAAGACCAAAACACAGTAGGACCAAAACAATGAGCACAAGTGTGATTTGGATGCGATAGATGTAAACTTCTCCTATAGAAAATCATAAAGGGTTAATTTATGAAATAAGAATTATGAACAGCATATAAACATATGAAAAATATTATCAGGAATTAAAGAAACCCAAATTAGAACAATGAGCTACAATTTTTCTAAGAACAGATTACTGTAGATTATTTTTTACACAATAAAGCTCTGCTTTGAGAAGAAAGTGCTGAAAGGGGCTCTCTCCACCTCACCTACAGAACTGCAGACGGGTTCAACCTTATATCTGATATGTGTAGATCAAGAAGATGAAAGGGTTTATATTCTTGCCATGGATTAAACGTTTGTGTCCCCTCCCAATTAATATGTTTGAAGCCCTAATCCCCACTGTGACTGTATTTGGAGACAGGGCCTGTGAGGAGATAAGGGTTAAATGAGGTCAGAAGGAAGGGGCCTTCACCCAGTAGAGCTGGTGTCCTTATAAGAGGAGGAAGAGACGCCAGAGTCCTCCCTGCCATGTGAGGACACAGCCAGGAAAAGAGCTCTCACAGGGAAAGAAATCAACCAACTGCTTGACCTAGGACTTCCAGTTTCTAGAACTGTGACAAAATAAATTTCTGTTGTTTAAGCTACCCAATCCATGGTTTTTTGTTATGGCAGCCCAAATAGACAAATATAATTCTTTAAGCAGAATTTCCATTCATAGGTGTCTATCCTAAGGGAGTAAGTCGGATTGACAAGAATTCCTGGATGTGTCCTACAGCATTAATGAAGTTAAAAACAATCTAAATGTCTAAAATAGAAGAATCTTTAGGAAAATATATAATGCATACATTATTTTGCAACTATTAAAACCAGATTATATAGTTTTTTATGTTGGCAAATAATTATTTATATAATATTAATATAACAGTAATAGAGAAAAAAATATCAATTGATATCCTCATTTTTTAATTATGTAATTATTAAGTATATAAGCATAGGAAAAAAGAATTAAAAGATATATAGTAGTCTCTCTATCCACAGGCAATACATTCCAAAATCCTCAGTGGATGCCTAAAACCACAGATATGCTTCTTCCAATATGTACATCCCTTTTCACTCAAAGGAAGCACTTCATGGCCTCTCTCTGGCATGTCCGAATTGCCAGCATCACTATTCTTGCACTTTGGGGCCATTACTAAGTAAAATAAGGGTTCTTTGAAGACAAGCACTTCGAAACTGTAATGGTCAACCTGATAATTAAGACAGCTACTAAGTGGCTAATGGGTGGGGAATGGATACCTCGTGGAGATGCTGGACAAAAGGACAATTCGCCTTCCAGGCAGGATGGAGCATGAGGGCGCAAGATTTTATCACATTTCTCAGGGTGTCATGCAATTTAAAACTGAAAAATTGTTTCTGGAATTTTCTATGTAATATTTTCAAACTGCAGTTGAGCTTGGGTACCTAAAACTGCAGAAAACAAAATAGTGGACAAGGAAGGATTACTGCGTACCAAATATATTAACAGGGATATTATCTCTGATTGTGGAATTATAAGTAAGAATTTTTCTTTATTTTTCAAGATGTTCTAAGTCTCCAATGATCACCCTGTATTATTTTTATCATCATAAAAAATTAAATTATTTCAAAAACAAGGCATATGAACCCTACTTTTGCCATTAACTTAGAATAGAGTTTAACGAGAGACTCATTTCTTCATACCATGTTCATTTTCTTCCTGTAAAATTCTACAGATACTATAATTGACCTGCAAGAATAAAATAATAAAAGTTATAAAGAAACAGAAACTAAGGATGCTGGCATTGTTACTTTGTCAGTAACTCCTAAATTATCTTTTATCCACAATCCCAAAACAAATGAGCATGATTTCCACTTAAGGGTTCTGTGAGTAAGCCTAACAAAATTCTTGCTTTATTCTTTAAGATATATGAGTCCAAAGTTACATAAGGCTTTTTGAAATTTCAAATGTTGGAAAAAGTAATCTAAGTACACATGAGTATGTTCTTTAAAAATACACCATAAGGACACCAACATGGAAAATATTTTGTGAAAGAGAGAAGAAATTTCCTCTGTACTGTTGCTAAGGATGGGACTAGGATGAAAGGGAGAGACTAGGGGAAGGAAGATTTTGACATAAAACAATTAACTTTCGTTGCAAAGTAGAGTGCACCCTATCACCAATAATGTAAACAGCCAACAGAAGACCACTTGTTTGGGAGGAGGAAGCATCTGAAAAGTAACTTCTGTGTTAAATTTGAACCAAACTAAAAGATGGACTGGATAATCTTTAAGGCAAAATAACCATGGAATTTATGATCCAAATGGAGCACTTTTAAGAGAAAAGAGGTGATATTAATAACTAATGGGGCATCCTAGTGAAACTGAAATTTGTGGTCATCCTTTTCTTGGGTCTCTTCTAAGGCTTAAGCACTAAAATAGCACATTCATAAACCTTGAGTCTTTCATCCATGCTTCAAGGGCTAAACTTTTCCAGTGCCTGCATTTTATTGGCTTAGTGGATTATTGTTAATGGTCAGACTTTTTGACGTGTAACAACCTGTCTCTGAATGGCTGGGGGTGGGATCTGGGTAGACACGATGAATTTCCCCAATAATTGGACCTTGGAGAAAAGAAAGGAGTAAGCAGAGTTAATTGGAAGCCTACAAGGCATATGGCACTGGCAACCCCAGAATTATTTTGAGCTGCAGTTAGCATACCTAGGTGATTACTACTTGGATATTTCAGTGCTTCCTAAGTGTAGCTGGAATGTGTGGCTCTGATTTGTTTTCCAGCTGGAAATGTTACAGAAACAGAAAGATTTCTGCTTTTGTGTGTCTTGTTGTATCTTGCCTCTGCTTGGCAGAGGTTCTGGTCTGACAGTCATGTACATCACTTCCGCTGTGCTCTGGGCTCAACAAAAGAAATTTAGAATGAACTTCGACAACTTCCACAGAATCTCCTCGGCAACAGACAAGCCCACCCGCAAGCTGATTCCACGTGGTTTTGTTGTCTGTCATGACTACGGGGTCCTCAGGAAGGAGTGACAGAGAAGAGATAAAAGGTAGGCTTTTGTAAACACTCATTAATGTGATAAGATTTCATTTTTTTATTTTATTTTTAAGTATATTTTCTTGATTATGCTAATTACAGTTCTCCCAATTTTTCCCCCTTTGCCTCCCTCCACCAAGTACCCCCTTCCCTCCAACGATCCCTCCTTTAGCACATGTCCATGGGTCGTGCGTGTAAATTCTTTGGCTTCTCCATTTCCTATGCTATTCTTAACATCCCCCTGTCTATTTTGTTTCTACCAATTATGCTTCAAAAATATGGAACACTTCACAAATTCACGAGTCATCCTTGCTCAGAAGCCATGCTAACCTTCTTCGTATCGGTCCAATCTTACTGTATGTGCTGCTGAAGCGAGCACTGATGTGATATGATTTTAAAGGTTCCCACCTCTTCTGAATATCTCCCCACTCACCTATCAAAAGTATCAGATTGGCCAAAAAGTTTGGGTTTTTTTCCATATGATGGCTCTAGTAGTGCTTAGTTGTCTTTAACTTCATTCAAAATAATTTTGTTAGGTTGTATTGCGAGAGCGGTCATATCGGCAAGCATTTTTTTTTAAAAAAGCTTATCAAAATTAGTGAATTTTTGTTTAGCAATTTTAATATTAAAGATGGAAGAAAGAATGCAACATTTTCAGCATGTTATGTTTTTTTATTTCAAAAAAGGTAAAAACGCAAATGTAACACAAAAAAATTTTGTGCAGTGTATGGAGAAGGTGCTATGGCTGATCAAGCACATCAAAAGTGGTTTGCAAAGTTTTGTGCTAGAGGTTTTCTCATTTGATGATGCTCCATAGTCAAATATACCAGTTGAAGTTGATAGTGATCAAATCAAGACATTAACTGAGAACAATCAACATTCTACCACGTGGGAGAGAGCAGACATACTCAAAATATCCATGTTGATAGTTATTGATGAAAATGAAAAATATGTCTTTTATCTTACAGAAAAAACTAAACAGACTTTTTGGCCAAGACACCATATTTCTATAATTCCCCTATGGAAATGTATGTAAGCGTTTTATTCTAGAAGTAAGACAGGACTCTATTAGTTACAAATCACGTTTACATTCCTAAATTCAGACTGTAAACTGTCCCAAGGCAGAAATTCTTTTTATCTTTTTGTGTGTCCTCAGAGCTTGGCGAAGAGTAGGTGTTCAATACATGTTAGGGGAAAATGGTGGTGATGTGGTAATGATGATAGTAATAATTCCAATGACTACTTTTTAAAGGGAAATTACTGTTTATCATAAACAGAAAGGGAAGGAATGCTAAGAAGAGGAGTCAGGTGAATTCTGAGAGGGAAATATGTCCAGTAATGGCCCAGAGATGCTTTCAAAGGCAGGCCAAACTTTGGCTGCACAGCAAATAATCGTGAGCAGCTAGGAGGAACGGAGCCTATGATTGGAGTGAAGGAAAATATAGAAAGTGGAGAAGAAGCCTCTGAAATGGAGATTGAGCAGAGCTTAAGATAAGTCATGCCTGATTAGAAATTTTCCCTGAAGCAGAGAACCAGGGCACATGTCTAAAAGCCAAGAGGAAGAGCTCTTTCCAAAGAGGCTTGTACATCAATTAACTAGCGATTGACTTAAATTGCAAAGAAACCATATATATCCTTGGACATTCTTACTAAACTCTGGCAACCGGGAGACGGGGAAAAATAAAATGTGCTGGTTGTTTGAAAACTAATGATGGTCTTTTCTACTCTGCACCTTTACGAAAGCTAGCACATCCTTTTGGTGGTTGTATCATTAAATCCAATTTCAAGCTCCTCACAGTAGTCAAAAGCAGAAAAACTACTGTTTTTATAGGTGGGCAAAATTGAGACGTTCCACAGTTACCCTTTTAAACCAGCTCACCTCTGAAGTTTTCAGAATTTGAACCAATACATCAGCAATACCAGAAGTTTCTGCAATGAAGCCTATCAGTAGAGGAGCAGAGCCCAACCCTGAGCACCTCATCTGGAGCTGAGCTGGGGCAGAGAGGGCAGCAGTAACTGGGCAGCTTCTGAACAGAGTGCTAGGTCACATGCGTGCTGCAAGGCCAAGGATGCCCTTCCCAGGTGCCTGGAAGCACAGCTTCAAGCAACTCAAAGTAGCCAGCTACCTTTAGCCAACATGGGTGCCATGGGCAGACTGCAGAGGCTCCAGAAATGGGTTGTGTGCAGGCTCCTTTTCAGCAAAGGCTGTGGATTATCCAGAAAATCCAACAGGCAAAGTAGGAATGACAGATGTCATAGAAAACAGATGCTATTCTGACAAATGAACACTGCCACCATGTGAGTGTCTACTTAAGAAAATTCAAGATACCTCCTACTTCAACCACAGATGGAACCATCTTCATGAAGGATACCACTAGTTAATGACAATCATTAAGTGCTGTCTTCTTAGGCAGAAACTCTGCCTAGAACTCTGTACTAGGGGTCAGGAGACTTGGGATCTAGTTCCCACAGAGCCACCAATTTGCCTTATGACCCTGGACAAGTTGATTTACGTGTCTACAACAATAAAATAAACATACCTTCTCTTCTGGCTCCAATTAAGTCTTGCTCACTGGAGTACTGAACTTCTCAGAAAATGTGGAAACTAGAAAGTGGAATGCAGATGTAAAGTATTGTTATAATTAATTTGAAGGCAATTTCATAGGATAAAAACTAAACTAAATAATGGTGCCATAGGCTCAAAGAAGCAAAACAGAAAATGCTTGCTAATGTTTCCAGACCAAAAAGAAGCTTCAAATCCTTTGTCTTCTAAACAATGCCTATTATCATGAAAAGAGCCTATCTATTTGTCTTCAAAAAACCCTATTGATCAATTGATCAGGCAATATGGCTGGAACTGGTATGTCCCTTCACTCTGAGATTTCCATCCCTCCTTCCCCTCCCCAATGCTGGAAACAGAAGTGGGTGAGTGTAACTGCTGGCAAATGAACAGACAATTAGAGGAAGTGCCAGACCCTGGTGAGCAGCTACCACCCTCCCACCCCCAACCAAGCCCAGAATCACAGAGATTTCTGTAACTTGCATGATAAAGTCATGTCAACACATCAAACAGTTATTTTTTAATGCAGTATGGTTTTCCTGTAATCTTCAACATTTTTACTCATATGTATTCCCTTTTCGTAATTGAGTAGTGAAGAAAAAAATTTATAAACATGCATGCCTCCATGGCTACAAAAAAAAAAAAAGGCGGTTTCACAAAGGCATGTAGGCAGCATGCATTTCAGCATGAACAGGGGGTGGTGAGAGAAAGTTGTAGGCCTTAGAAGAACTTGAGACCAGCTGCTCCAAGATATCCATTTGTTGGCATAACTTGCACTGAGTCCCTGGCACAAACCTTTTAGCTCTTTAAAGTTTCCCTTGGTTATCTCTTTGGGCTTTATTATCCGTTTATGAGCTCAGGATTCATATCACATAAAACTGGACTTTGCAAATTTGAAACTAACCAATATCATTTTCAAAAGCTCTCAGAAAAATAAAATGGATTATGCAGGAAATTTTAGTAAATGGAAAATATTGCATATAGAGTCTGAGGCAATCCAGGACATTTTAAACCAGAAAGCAGATGGAATAAGAGCAATATAAATTAGTGTAACTGTATTTTGCCAACTGCAAAGTGATTCTAATTCCAAACAGAATTCTCCCCAACTTGTTGATTGAATGTATATTTGTTTTTAATTACCTCTGGGTAGAATTTGGTGAGATGTTTAGAGTTAGAATCATAGACTCTAAAGATCTAAAGACCACCAAATCTTGCCAAACCACCCATGGAGTATCAAACTAAAGAAACAAACACATAAAATACAAGCAAGGTGTTTACGCTGGAAAACAATACCTGTGCGTATGTTATATAAGCCAATTAACAAAAACTATGCATGTGGCAGTTTGTAAGAAATGCCCTGCCCCAAAGAGAGAAAGTATATTAAATACTGAACAGGAGGGCAAAACGTTGTGAGCCGTCCTTCCTGGCCGTGGCCCTCTCAGCATGGCCTGTGTCTTGGATGTCTTGGCAGCTTCCCAAAGGAAGGGTTTGGCTTCTGGCTGTCAAAGTCAGAGCAAATCTTAATCCTGACTCAGTCCCCTCTAGGCCATCCAAGTCAAGCTCGGAAGATGTGAGCAAATGACCCTGACTGGGGTAAATCAATCCCGTTGCACTAGAGCAAACTGACCAGCTAATTTATGAAAGCAGAGGAGAGGTTGACACAGATTTTTCACTGCAGTGCAAACTACAGTAAAGAAACAGATAATCTGATTACTTCTTAGAGAAGTAATCTCCATATTCCTGCCAAGATACTCAGGCCTTGAGCCATTTTCTTGGGCTGGATGTGAGCATGGGTAAGATTTGACCAGCAGGCTATTGTCCACCAAGGCCTCAGGGGACTAGTGCTACAGGAAAATCCCACAGATGATTCCCCAGTCCACTGACAAGCAAGACTCTTGTTTGGACGTGGAATCTTGCTTAGTGTCCTAAGTCTAGACTGGCTGTGGTTGACAAAGCCCACGTTTTTAATGACGAGCCACTTCAGAGTACAGAAGATTAGAATGGAATGAAGATTTCCCCTGCATCTGCAGTCTCTCTTCCCAACAGCCTGGTAGAGGAAAGCACAGAACTGCATGTTCGTGATAAAGTAGAGAGGCACGACAAGGTGTTTACTGCATTCTTACTGTTTTCTTTGCCACACAAGACTTCTACACTCTTTTGTCTGTGCCACAAAGGCACCTTTGTACCCCCTGCCTAGTGTCAGATCTCACACCAGCTGCTACTATCAGTAGAAAGGCTCAGGGTAGAAGCAGCATCTGGAAATATGTTAATTTTGCATGAAAGTAGAGGATGATAGAAATTACAGAGACTGAAAATGAGAGACATCTGTTCATTTCAGAATTTAACACGGAGCAATTGCAGCATGAGTGAGGAGGCAGTTGTAGAGAACCACAGGACTGACTGGGGAAGGCGCTCTCCATCCCAGACTCAGAGATGGTAGGCACCACCAGAAGGAACTGAGAGAGGCAAACCAGGGAAATGAAACCAGTTAAGGAACTCAAATATTGAAGGGCCTATGACCTGATATCTCAGGGCAGGTAAGAGGGGTCAGAATTCCCAGTCCCAGGAGAGCAAAACTTCAGTCCTCATTCATCTTTGGAGAGCTCTAAAAAAGGATAGAAGGACTAATCATTTAGAATCCCAGGCATGAAGAATGGAAAGTCAGCACTTCCAATACAATACCCATGTGCAAGCATTCCCTGCCAAGCGAAGGCAAAGATGTGAACACATTTCCATTCATAAACCGAAAAAATATACTGGGACCATTTCTGAATCTCATTAAGGACTTATACTCAACACAATGGCCATAATTTTCCATG